ATCAAGCTCATTTAATAGCTGTTTTCCATTCATGAAAGCAGGGCCATGAAAATCCCACGTTAGACTGTCCTTTAGTCAGCAAGAGGTTTTCCTATCATTCCCAAACTCTTTATTTAAAAAACTCCCACCCCTGTCCCCTTTATTCTCTCAGGGGTCATCCAACGGAAGCAATGGGGCTAATCCAAACAAGTAGCTGTGAAAGAGAGTCTGTAACAACTTGCATTCAAATTATGAGCTTATTCTGTTACCGGTGGATGTAAAATCTCAATAGAACAGTGGCTGAGGCCTCAATGCTGCAAACATAATACACACTTGAGCGTTAAAAACAGACCAACACCAATACGTTCTGGATTTAGCAGGTTACCTCAGGGATAAATTATGTGTGTGACCAAGGCAACATTTAATACTTCACTAGCTTCTTGAACAAAATTCCCCAACCTTTCTGGCTTTGTGGACTGGCTGTGGGGCAGGGGGCAGATGGTTCTGTGCAAGTGGCAGGCAAGCGTGCATCTATTCCTTTTTGCGCAAGCGGCGGGCACACCAATCGAGCTACATGTGCACATTCGCCCACTGCTCACACAAGTGCATCTGTGCGCTCCTGTGCTTGTCCAACACTTCCCCGTGTCAATTTCAAATGGCTCAAGGAGATAGTGGGCTGTGGCTTGGGGTTGAATAGAATAGAATCACACAATTGGAAAGGCCCTTGGTGGTCTTCTAGCCCAACCCCCTGCCTAAGCAGGAAACCCTATACCATTTCAGACAAATGGCTATCCAATCTCTTCTTAAAAACCTCCAGTGTTGGCATTTACAACTTCTGGAGGAAAGTTGTTCCACTATTGTTCTCACTGTCAGGAAATTTCTCCTTAGTTCTAAGTTGCTTCTCTTCTTGATGGGTTTCCACCCATTGCTTCTTGTCTTACCCTCAGGTGCTTTGGAGAAAAGCTTGACTCCCTCTTCTTTGTGGCATCCCCTGAGGTTGGGGGCCCCTGTTCTAAAGCTTGCAATGCATCTTCCATTACACANGAGCCGTCCGACAGCTCTCAGATAGAGAGTCAGCAGCCCCCAGGTCTGGAGGTGGCTGATGAGAAAGAGAAGGAACAGCTGGGTCCAGTGTTTGATGCGCAGATGCCCAGAAGGCAGAGGAGAGGAGAGCACTGGAAATCTATGGGCCAGTCCTTGGGGCAGAAGAGCCACTGCTGCTAGCAAAGCCCCACCCTAGCTGTGGGGATAAAAGGCAGGGGGAGGAGATGAATAGATGTGGCAGACAATCTTCCTGCCGGACAGACTTGTTATCCTGCTATGTGAGAGAGAAACTATTTGCCAGGGCTGCTGGTGCTCCTAATGAAGAAATTATTGCTTCAACTTCAGAGGGCTTGTCCTGTTTGGGGAGGTGGGTCAGAACAATATTGTAATTCATGCATCCCCTTAACAGCTTTGGGATTCAGCACGATGGTAACTTCAATTCTAGTGTAGGAAGTTGTGCAAAAAAAACCAATACTCTGATGTGATTGAAACTTAGCACCCCACAGTTGATCATCAATGGGTCGGACGGTGGTAAGCAGAGTGCTGTTGTGTCAAGCCAGGCCAAGACTTTGGGGCTGGTAGTGAATTCAGAGCTGCTGGGAGTAGGATTAGGGCTGTGATGGTGAACCTATGGCACACCATAGCCAGCTGATTTTTGCCCTTCCAGAGGGCTGGGGGAGGCTGTTTCTGCCCTCCCCAGGCTTTAGGAAAGCCTCCAAAGCCTGGGGAGGGGTCATGTGTACATGCATGGGCGGGAGTCACATGTACATGCACAGGAGGGCGGGGAGGATTGAATTGCTGTGGGCACACGTGCGTGCGTGATAGCGTGCACACGCGCAATTTTGGCATGTCATATGAAAAAAGTTCTCCATCACTGGGTTAGGGTTAGGGAAGAGACCTTAAGCTATCTTGTCCAGATTTGCTTTATCTGAAAGGCAGGGCAACCAAATCACTCCAGGCTTCCATTCTGTTGATTCTGGGCCGATTTCTAAAACAGGTGTGCCCAATTTTGGCAATTTTAAGGCCTGTGGACTTGCCAATTCCCCAGCCAGCTGGGGAATTCTGGGAGTTGAAGTCCACAAGTCTTAAAGTTGCCAACCTTCAACACCCCTGCTCTAGAACCTTTTCAAATGAAGCCGAAATCTGAGGTTTGGCACACTTCTGTGACTATGTCGAGGAAATGGGAGTGAAGCAGGGATGACTCTCCTTATACACCCGCTTCTTGTTTGGAAGATTGTCAGGATAAAACAGAGCTTCACTTCCATGCCAACTACTTCCCCACAAGGGTGGCTGGGAGACACCTTTAAGGCTTTCCAATGGTCACCTGTACTGTAATATCTGATATTATAAGTAATAATATTTGTGAGAAAAATTGCCAAGGGGAGGTGACAAGAAGCAAGTTTTGATTTCTGACCCAATAACCTTAACTGGGCAGCTACTTTCTCTCGTACTTTTTGCAGCCAGGAAATATATTCTCTCTGAGTGAGAAGAGACAGATTTAACCACCTCCTATACAACTCTAGCTCACAACCCAACCTAGAGTACATTAAAAAAAAAACTATTTGGACTGCAGAGCAATGGTTTTCAAGGACTGGCTACATTCCCTCTTCTGTGCAATTTGAGGGGATGATAATTTCAGGCAAGGGGTGAAATGCAGAGTTGTGTCCTGCTATGGATGCCTGTTCCCGTAGTTTAACTCTTCAAAAAGCTGGGCCTCACTCCTGATCCCTTGTGATGTGCCTTTATCTGTCCTTTTGTCATCATAAAGGTGAAGGTTCCCCTTGCACGTATGTGCTAGTTGTTCCTGACTCTAGGGGGCAGTGCTCATCTCCATTTCAAAGCCAAAGAGCCAGTCCTGTCCGAAGACGTCTTTGCGGTCATGTGGCCGGCAAGACTAAACACCAAAGGCACATGGAACGCTGTTACCTTCCCACCGAAATTGTCCCTATTTTTCTACATGCATTTTTATGTGCTTTCGAACTGCTAGGTTGGCAGAAGCTGGGACAAGTAACGGGAGCTCACTCCGTTACGCAGCGCTAGGGATTCGAACCACCAAACTGCCAACCTTTCTGATCGACCAGCTCAGCATCTTAGCCACTGAACCACATCGTCACTTATCTGTCATCATAGGAGCAGTCATAGAACTGGTTGAAATAAAGGAAAAGAAATTGTTGTGTTCTGCTGAGATTGCGCTTTAGCTTCCCCCGGCAAGTCTACAATTGATGGACTACGCCAGCAAAGCAGGTTATACGTGTTCTTCACCTTCAGGCTTGTGCGCTTGAATCGTCTGACAGCCTTCCTGTCTTTTGCCAGCGCTGTTTTGCTGAGATCAGCAAACTGAAGAGGGAGCAGCAGCAGCCCAAGATTCCAAAATGGAGGTTCCCACGGAAGACTCTACTCCTCCCAGAAGGCAGAGAGGTGAGGCTATTTCCTCCCCCAGGAGGGGATCATCCCAGCTTTTATTTCTAGGCAGGGGGGTACATGAACCATTCTCCAGCTCTCCACAATTCTTACTTTTAAGAACAACTTATGTGGGCCATGTGAGTCTTAAGGCAGGCATGTCCCAAAGGTGCTTTTTCANGGGAACTAAGATTGCGATTTATGCTTTCTCAGGAAGCCTAGGTCAGAACAAGCCCACTTGGTGGTGCTTGTTGTCCACCTACGGAATCCCAGCCCTGTGTTCAGACTGTACATAACCAAATGCCCTGCTTCAAGCAAATCCACTCTTTCCAGCCATCTAAAGGGTTATGCAGTGGTGAATTTCCTTACTGGACTCTCCTGGCAGAGGCAACCTAGCAGCAGGGCTGTGTAAGAGGCCACAATGCAGTCTTCCATGTGCTTTCCAGCATGTTGAAGGGCTGTAAATAAACAAGAAGGTTTTAGACCAATAGGCTCACTTCACATTCTACACAACTTTCCTGATTTTTTCCCACCACAGAGAAATACTGAGCAATCCCAAAGAGTAACAGTTTCTCCCCCATCAGCTCGACTCTGAACTCACTGGCTAAACTCCCGATTTACCAGAACGCAACCTGACCCAAAGGTCAATCATTAATCCATTTCTTTCCTCAATAAAGACATTATAAGGTTCAACAGACACATTCGGCACTCAAAAAAAAACCTCACACACCAATCAAATTAGTTGCAGTTAGGTGTGAGAGGACACCAGGGGAAATATTGCAAAAAAATTGATATGAAGGAGCGAGAGAAGGAAAAGAAATAGAATTTAAAAGAAACCAAGATACTGAATACAAGCAGGTAAGATTAAACTTCCTTTTATCAAACAAGACACGATGCCGTAGCTGGAAGACAGCTCTGTCAATCCATGGGAGGAAAAAAAAACAAAAAACAAACCCAAGGGGGTCTGGTAACCTAACTTCCAATTAACAAAATTAGCACTACTGAGAAAGGCTTTTATACCTCTTAATAAAATTTATTAGAAAAGGGGGCCAGCAAGCTCTTTCCAATAGTGTCAGAATCAAGGATTTCCAGGAAAGAGACAGCAAAGGCTGACACCTTAAGCAGAGAGATTTTTAAAAAGTGAGAAAATAGCCAGGGCGGTCAAGAATCACACACTATCCTGGCTCCTTTAAATGCCTATTTCATAGGCTGCTCTCTTGTCCAGCTGCTGCTATTCACTGTCAGGCCTGCAGCCATCTTTTCTTTGGATCTTTGGCCTGCCACACTTTATATTATTCTATTATGCCTTTTTCTATTGTGGGAAAATGGGAGGGGGGGTTGTAAGGAGTTGGATGATATGTAGCCATAACAAAATCCTTTCTAGAAAGCCAAGGTCATCCTTGGTCTTTGCACATCTGCACCTGACCAGAACTGGATGGGTGGAACTGCCAGCANTATTAATCTGTTAAAAAATATGTCATTTTCCACTTGAAGACTAAAGAAAATTCAGATGATAGCCATTTTCTCTTTCAAGTTGAAATCTCCAGTATCAAGAAACTGTGCTCACTACGTATAGGTTTATGTATTGAAAGTAGCAATTTTTATTCGAGTTAAAATTATTTACAAAAACCAAAAGACATACTTCATGAAACTGGTACAAACTATTATTCCTGCCGTTGGCTTTTTGCTCCAAAGATCACAGCTGAGAAATACTGTATAAAATAAAAATAGGATTGGATTCAGAAAAGTACTCTACGGTTCTAGTTTCCAATTGCGCTTATTTACACATATATTTACAATGGAAAAAAAAGTAGTTTTATTTTAAAACTTTTCAATTTGAAGGTTGCCTCAAGTACCCATTGAAATGCAGAGTTTGATGAGGGTTTTAAACAAGAAAATACACTGCAGCTCCACAGGGGGCGTTTCCCCTGACTCTTATCCCCCCCTCCCCCAGACCATCTGCATCCATTCAGTGCTTGTTAATTAAAAACTGTCAACACAAGACTTTAATCAATTCCCATTCAGGTCATTTACCAGTGTAACAGAGAAGGGTGGGTCCTGATTTCCCCCAGAATTGCATTTAATCGTCCTTCGCCATGGCGCACACACAAAAAGCCTAACTTAAAAAGCTACATGAAATCAAACTCAAACTGGAAGCCGTTTGCTCTACAAACTAAAAATGCCAAAAAATATATCCAGAAAAATCCTGCATCGCAAAAATAATTTACAAGTTCAGCTTTATTCGGTTGTTCTCCCTTGTCCTTCACCCAAGGGCAAACACATAAGCCTCAGCTGTCTTTTCTAAGTTACACTGGTACGTTTTTGGGGACAGAAGGGGTTTTTCTTAAAAAGTGGTGAGAACATTTTTTTTTAAAAAAAGAAGAGGATAAGCTTTTGTTTTTAATCACTTACTTCCATACTGAATTCCCAACAATCTGCATTATCAAAAATAGGAAGACATAGAAGGCAGCCACTGTGTGTAAAAAAATGTACAGCTTGCACTGATACAAAAGCACGTTTTGTAATTTTATACATGGAGATAACAAGATCTAAAAAGCAGGTTAGATTTTCTGTTATTTCTCCCTTCCCTCATTATACATAGAACTTAATATTTTTTTTATGGCTTCAAGTTTTACAAATTCAAAGAAAGATGATGCAACTACCTAACACAAGTAATGTGAAAAGTGTCGGTGACACACACACGTGTCCCCAAGAAACTTTTGTGAAGATTCAAGACCAGCTTAATAAAAGTCATGAGCAATTCCGTCGGGACGATGAGTGCAGGAGGGTCCCTAATGTTCAAAAACACAACGGAATGAAACAAAAATAGTATTTTGCAGGGATCTTTGTTCCACAAAAGTCTCAACACAATCCTTTGCTGTGAACTAGACTCTACACTGAACAAAATTTTTGCTATATTCAGCTATTTAAGGCTTTGTATTGTATGCGTTTACCTGCTCAAAACTCAAACTATAGAAAGATTTACCTTAATTGGAAAAATTTGTCTGCCGGATGGTTTAGCTCAATGTTTCTTTGAAACAAACTGACAGCATTTAAGAAGTTTTTGCTTATTTCCGAAGTGTAAACTACCCTGGATCGAACATGGTTTCACACTAACCTTTAGCAGGGCTTGTTTTACTGCATTTTTAAAAAAATATAGATATAGACACCGGCCGGGAGGGGATCTTTTTTCTTTCTGCATGCCTCTCTCAGAGCTCTGACGTGATACGGTCCATCAGTTTACAGTACTTAGGCCACAACAATTGCAAAAACTGAGAAGTAGCTTCCAACAACCCAATTTTCAATCAAAGCAGTATAAAAAATAAACTATCCGAGCCTCAACCTCTTTGGATTCCAACACATTTTTAAATATAGACAGTAGTTAAGATCGCAAAAAGTATTTTAAAAAAATCTTTCTATGTCTTTTTTTTAAATCGTTTTGGAATAATCTCTTTCAAAAACAAGAGCAAATTAAACTCAAATCAGAGCTAACGCTGCTGTCCAGAGCATTTTTATTGGAATATTTTTCCCCCCTCGATACCTCAGTAGCTAAAGCTGCCTTCGCCCTGGCTGGCATGAAAAGAAGAACAGTGGCTCAACAGTAAACAGCAGTTGCCTTACCCGCAGTAGGATTATTATTTTTTTCCCCTTCGAAGGTTGTCACAAAAAAGCCAGACAAATAAAGAGGATGGATAAAACTTTGCCAAATACATGGAAATACTGCGCTGAGTTAACTAGAAAACATTGTGAGTTCTCTCGGTCCCCAGATCTCTCATTTTTGATAAATTTGCAGATTGAAGCAGTAGCGGTCCTTTGGAAAATGCCAGATGTGGTGGGGAGACCAGGTAGCCTTAAAAATCCAAAGAGAAAATGAGACTGGAGGAATGCTCTTGACGCATCCCCCTGAGCACATCCGTCGCCACCTCCTCTGCTTTTTCTAAAAGAAAAAGCCCCCTCCTCCTTCTCCGAGTGCCTGTGGCCCAATGGGGGTGATTAGCAGTGTTCCAAGTATTCAATCACTCGGGAGATTGACTTCTGGCCTGTGGTTCCAACTGCACACTGGGTGAGCAAGGAGACAAAAACAGGGATAAGCGTTAAGATTGCGCTCTTCCTTTTGAGGGACTCTGGACTGCTTCATTTTTCTGCTGACCCCTTGCGCCAGTCTGGCCAAGGCCTGATAGTGTTCTGGAAGTAATGCTTCTTATTCTTTACTCCTAACAGAAAAGCAGTGTTAGGTGCCGTTTGAAAAAAACTCAGCATGTTCCAGATCTCTCAGGAACATCCTATTCTCCTAACCAATAGAACAGGGGTGTCAAACTCAAGACCTGCAGGCCGGACCCATGCCTCAGAGTGCTTAGATCTGACCCACAGGGCCACCTTGGAAGCAGAGAAGGAGCGACCTGTGGTCTGCCAGCGAAAATGGAACTTGTGAGGGGTGAGCGCAGCCATCCCTGGCTCCGTTTTCGGCTGTGATGGCTTCCTGCAGCCCTCTGCCAGTGAAAACAGAGCCTGGGAAGGCCTCCATTTTCGCTGGCAGAAGGCTACAGGATGTCAAGCTGGCCACGCCCATTCGGGCCCCCAAGGTCAGAACTCTCATGTGGCCCCAATGAAATCGAGTTTGACACCCCTGCGGTAGAGGTTGCACATCCTTATTTACAGCAACACAAATGTGGAACAAGATTAAATAAGACTGGCAGTTTCCCATTTTCAAGAAGAAAAGACTTGCCAGTTATTGCTTAGGAAAAGCACCGGGCAGTAAATGACTCCCATTCATAGCCATGAATGAGCAGAATGCTCTCTGGCTGTGCCTATAGTCCTTGACTTATGACCACAATTGAACCCCAAAAATTTCTACTGCTAAGCAAGACATTTGTTAAGTGAATTTTGCCCCATTATACTACCTTCTTTCCCACCGTTGTTAAGTGAATCACTGCCCTGGTTAAGTTAGCAACACAGTTTGTTAAGTAGATCTGGCTTCCCTGTTGACTATTATTTTTAGAAGGTTGATCACATGACCCCAGGACACTGCAACCATCATAAATATGAGTCAGTTGCCGAACAGCTGAATTTTGATCACATGACCATGGGAATGTCGCAACAATGGCGTGAAAAATGGTCACAATTCACTCTTTTCAGTGTCATTGTAACTTGGAGTGGTTGCTAAATGAATTTTTGTTAAGGACCGCCTGTATGTGGTTTGTTGGTGAACCTCTAGCTGAGATCAGCTAGAAATCTGCCCAATCTTATGCTGCAAATAACAAACAAACAAACAAAAAAAAAAACCCAACATCAATGCAAACAAGCCTATTGAAGCTAGTCAGGCAATAAATAATTAGAATCGCCGAAGATCTACTTACGGTAAGATTCATGAAACTAAGAAATTTTTTGAGCATTTCAGTCATGATTGAGAAGTCCCCGTCGGGTAAGTATGTCCTTACAGTAGTCACATTGATCTAAGGAAATAAATTTTGCATCAGGACATTTCCAAGCTTGGAGGAAAACATATTTTGCAAAACGTGACACGGGAAGAAATAAGTGTTCGCACGCGGATCCACGCTGCCTTAACGT